GGCCCTGCTCTGTGAGTGACAGGGGGCAGCGCCCCAACCCCCTTATCGGCCCTGCTCTGTGAGTGACAGGGGGCAGCGCCCCAACCCCCTTATCGGCCCTGCTCTGTGAGTGACAGGGGGCAGCGCCCCAACCCCCTTATCGGCCCTGCTCTGTGAGTGACAGGGGGCAGCGCCCCAACCCCCTTATCGGCCCTGCTCTGTGAGTGACAGGGGGCAGCGCCCCAACCCCCTTATCGGCCCTGCTCTGTGAGTGACAGGGGGCAGCGCCCCAACCCCCTTATCGGCCCTGCTCTGTGAGTGACAGGGGGCAGCGCCCCAACCCCCTTATCGGCCCTGCTCTGTGAGTGACAGGGGGCAGCGCCCCAACCCCCTTATCGGCCCTGCTCTGTGAGTGACAGGGGGCAGCGCCCCAACCCCCTTATCGGCCCTGCTCTGTGAGTGACAGGGGGCAGCGCCCCAACCCCCTTATCGGCCCTGCTCTGTGAGTGACAGGGGGCAGCGCCCCAACCCCCTTATCGGCCCTGCTCTGTGAGTGACAGGGGGCAGCGCCCCAACCCCCTTATCGGCCCTGCTCTGTGAGTGACAGGGGGCAGCGCCCCAACCCCCTGAACGGCCCTGCTCTGTGCGTGACAGGGGGTGGCGCCGCAACCTCCCCATCGACCTTGCCTTTAGTGTGACAGGGGTCGGTGCCCCAACCACCAAAATGGCCCTACCCTGAGCGTGACTGAGGGTGGCATCGCAACCTCCCGATCCGCCCTGCTCTGTGCATGACGGGGTGGCGCCCCAACTCCCCAATTGGCCCTGCTCTGAGCCCCACCAGGGGCTGCACCTAGCCATTGGGCCTGCCCTCTGCCACCCGGGAGCAGGCCTAAGCCAGCAGGTCGTTATCTCCCGAGGGGTCCCAGACTGGGAGAGGGCACAGGCCGGGCTGGCAGACCCCCCTCCCCTCCCGAGTGCACAAATTTTTGTGCACCGGGCCTCTAGTTGTATATAATCTTTGGAGAAATTTCTGCCAATATTTTTTCTGCCCATTTTTAAATATCAGATTATGAGGTTGTTTTTTTAAAAAAATAGTTTATTGATTTTTAGAGAGAGAAGGAGGGAGAGAGAGAAACATCAATGTGAGAGTACAACATCCATCAGCTGCCTTCTGCACGCCCCCTACAGGGGATTGATCCTGCAACCCAAGCATGTGGCCTTGACCTGGAATCAAACCCAGCAACCTTTTGGTTCAGGGGACAACACCCAACCAACTGAGCCACTCGGGCCAGGGCACAGTATGGCTTTCATGATGTAGAGTTGTAGGAGTTCCTTATTTATTTTTGAATATTAACCCCTTATCTAATATATCATTTGTGAATATCTTCTCCCATTTAGTAGGTTGTGTAAATCAAAACCACAAGAGATACCACCTGTCAGAATGGCTATCATCAAAATGTCCATCAATAAATAAGATGTGTTGTCAAGGATGTGGAGAAAAGGAAAACTTCATGCACTGTTGGTGGGACTGTAAACTGGTGCAGCCATTATGGAAAACAGCATGGAGTTTCTTCAAAAATTAAGAATAGAATTGCCGTATCACCCAGTAATTGGTCTTCTGGGTATTTATCCAAAGAAAACAAAAACACTAATTCGAAAAGAAATGTGCAACCCGTATGTTCATGAAAGCATCCTATATAATAAAAGCCTAATATGCTAAGTGTCCGGTAGTCTGTTCAACCAATCAAAGCATAATATGCTGATGATATGCTAAGGCTGCTCAACCGCTCATTATGATGTGCACTGACCACCAGGGGGTAGACACTCCGACTGGTAGTTTAGCTTGCTGCTGGGGTCCAACCGATCGGGACTGAGCAAGACGGGCTGGACACGCCCTAGAGTCCTCCCGCAGTCCCTCAATGGCTGGTCAACCTCCCACCTCCCTCCCCGACCCTGATAGTGCACCAGTGGGTCCCTCAGCCTGGCCTGCATCCTCTCACATGAGCTGTGCTCATGGCTGGTGAGCGTAGCAGTGGTGGTGGGAGCCTCTCCAGCCTCCGTGGCCGTGCTAAGTATGTCCTACTGACAGCTTAGGCCCGCTCTTGGAGCAGGCCTAAGCCGTTGGTCGGACATCTTCCAAGGGCTCCTGGACTGTGAGAGGGCACAGGTCGAGCTGAGGGAGCCCCCCTCCCCAAGTGCATGAATTTTCGTGCACCAGGCCTCTAGTATGTATATAATGGAATATTATTCAAGCAATAAGGAAAATGAAATTTTGCTCTTTCAATCTCCGGCTGTGGCATCATGAAGAGCTGCCATGCCATGTCTGCCCACCTGCAATGGATTATCATACTGAACTGCTTCAGCTTCCTGATCAAGAAGAACAAGCAGACTTACGGAACCCAATAACCTTAAGGCCCACTACTCCTTTCACTACAATGGACGTGGAGCAGTGCCCTAGGGCAAAGATGTGGTGGTCATCATGAAGCAGAGATCTGGGCAGCGAAAGCCTGCCACATCCTATGTGTGGACCACCATCAACAAGAAGGCCTGGGAGCAGCATCCAGCACATGGTCCACAAGAACAAGTATGGCCATGATCTGAGCATAGCCGCCAACCGCAGAGCCAGCGCCATCTGAAGCAGCCAGAAGCCTGTGAAGGTGAAGAGGAAGCAGCCCTCTACACCAAGAGCTCCTGAGCACCCTTTCCCTCAAAGCAATAAAGATATCACCCAACTTTCCTCAAAACAAAATAAAAGAAAAGAAATCTTGCCTACTGTGACAACACTGGATGGACCTAGAGTGTATTATGCTAAGTGAAATAAGACAGAGAAAGTAAATTACATGAGAAATCTAAACAAAAAAAACAAAAAAAGGAAGAAAAAACAAAACTGCAGAAACGAATAAACTAGTTGCCAGAGGGGAAGAGGGTGGAGGGAATGGGAGAAAATGGTAAAGCTGATTAAGAGGTACAAATCTCCAGTTATAATATAATTAATCCATGGGGATATAGTGTATAGCACAAAAAATATGTTAATATCTGATGACTTAGCACAGTAACAGATGGTTACTAAACTTATTGTGATTATCACACAGTAAAGTAAGAAATGTGGAATCAATATGTTGTGCACCTGAAACTAATATAATATTGTATGCCAAATGGACTTGAATAAACATTTTTAATACTGCATAAAAATCTGGAGTATAAAATGCTGACTTAGAAATATATTATTTTCTGCAAGTACTAAGGTTTACAATTACTAGCAATTTAGGTATCTTTACTTTTTAATATACAGTCTTTAAATAACTTTATTTTTAAATCTTAGTTATTAGTTAAGATCATATATATATAAGCCTAAGTGACCGTTTGACCATTCGACTGGTAGCTATGACGCGCACTGACCACCAGGGGGCAGATGCTCAATGCACAGGCATGGAAACATGGAACAGACTGATGAATCACAGAGGAAGGCGGAAGTGGGTAGGGGGGGAAGAGATTAACCAAAGATCTTATATGCATACTGGAGGCCCGCTGCATGGATTCGTGCACTAGTGGGGTCCCTTGACCTGGCCTGCGGGTATTGGGCCAAAACCAGCAGTCCGATATCCCCTGAGGGATCCCGGGTTGCGGGAGGGCGCAGTCCAGGCCGAGGGACCCCACCAGTGCATGAATCCGTGCACCAGGCCTCTAGTCCTATATAACAAAAGCCTAATATGCTAAGTGTCCAACTGTTCACTTGACTGTTCCACTACTCACTGTTACGTGCATTGACCACCAGGGGGTAGATACTCTGTCCAATAGGGGAGCTTGCTGCTGGGGTCCAGCCAATCGGGACTGGGTGAGATAGGCCGGACACACCCTGGAGCCCTCCTGCAGTCCCTCCCCAGCCCCGATCGTGCACCGGTGCAAAGGGCCCACTGGTGCACGAATCCGTGCACCAGGCCTCTAGTATGGGATAATTTAATGTTCATTAATTAGATCAAACTAGACAATTATCAACCAGCTGGACTTCTTTGTAATTTATACTTCTGGATAAACTCTCAATTCTAAACATTACTTTTAATGCCCCAATTTAACACCCCAGATTCAGTTTCCTCTACTTCCCATTTCCTACCAACTGTCATAAGGAACACTGCTGCTATGCCATCTGTCATTTCATTTAAAATTCTTCATATATGGTATTAAATAGTCATGATATAGGGTTCTCTCCCAACCCTTAAATTTGTTAACTTTCATTAAACCTCCAAACCTCAGTTTAGGTATCACTTAATCCAGAAAGCCTTCCCAGTAACCACAAAATGACCTTTCTCTACACACCCATATGAGTCATCCATATCAGAACAGACATTACATGATACCCCCACATTACAATAAGCATTGTAGAGGTAAGGACCATTTCTAACTATTCCCTATATCTGTGTCATTAGCACACCGCCAGGCCCATTTAAAGTATTCAATATTTTAAATGGAAGATGGCAGGATGGGAGAACAGGGAGGATGAAAGTAGGCTGGTTAGAAGGCTTCACTAATTCATAGTCAGTCACCAAGTTGTAAGCCAGCTTTTCTACTGTACTCTACTTTTCTCCTTCAGCAATGAATTACTCTTATTGCTACTTAGTATTTTTAATGCCCCAGAGATGATCACAAAGCAAAAGAAAATGTTTCCTCATTGCTTTTTATACTTCTCAGTTGCCTTACATTGTTTCTTATTATTACATGGAAAATATGTAAGATTCCACAGATAAAATTGAGATTTATATTATTGACTAAGACATTAAGTATACCACACACAATTTGTAGTTGTTAAAAATAGTTTTAAATATATTTTCACTTCCAGTTTCTAACTAGTTTGAAGTGAAATCAGTTTACAACATCTTCCTTTGAAAAAGAATCTTGGTAGTGACATCACCAAAAAATGGCAGAGCGGGCAATTCCAGGGCTATGTCCTCCCTAAAAAACTAATGAGCTGGCAAAAAATGTCAGAATGAACTTCTGAAGAATTCTGGAATCAAGTAAAAAATATAAAACAATCATAGGAAGACTAGGTGAAGAGAAGCTACTGTTTTGTGGTAAAAAAGCATTATCCCATTAATAATATCACTTACGACAAGCATGAGGACAACAGCCTGTACTCCTGTGGGTTACTAGTATCACAAAAAGCAGTAGGATCCTTATTCTCAAAGAATTGTGGTTGTGGGGATCAACTATCTTACAGCTCCCTAAAAGACACACGAAAAGAATGCCTTTGTTTCACAGAACTCAGAATATCCCCACAACTGGGACACTTTTGCTGAAATCATTTAATGCCACAGGTATTAAGTGCATCAGCCTATAACAAGAGACAACATTGATATTATCTAAATTATAAGGCTTTTCAATTATTAATTTCTAAAAAAATTATTTTCAAGATAAAGCTATATCTATAAGCAATTTTACAAAGAAAAAGGTGGAAATATCACTAAAAACCATTATTTTATGTACATGTAGTATAAGCTGAGTAATTTACATATATAGATAGCCTCACATAATTCTCATGACTCTATGAAATAACTATCCCAAAGAAATTGAAGTTGGTGTAAGTTAAGTTGGCAAGGTCCAAAAGCTAGTTATCATAAGAATTTGTCTTATCTTAACAATATCATAAAGAATTAAGAAGTATATCAATACCAGAAAGAGCACACCCAAAACATAAAGCTGTACCTTCACCAGTCATGAAAACTTCAAGATTGGCTGTTAAATGTTAGCATGAAAATAAAGGACTTTTAGATCAGTGTTTAGTAAATCACAAAAAAATACTCTATAATTCAGACATGAATGTAATAAAAGTTAATGATACTGAACCCAGCTAACAAACTAAAGCAATAAAAATAAAAAATTACTTGTTTATTTCCTATTTCCTTCACACCAGTCCTCTCTACAAGTAATTAATATTGACAATCTTCCCGTGG